ATTCAACAGTTTAGAAAGAGATACAGGGCGCACTGATCCAGCCCCGTGCGGGGGGGCTTTACACCTGCACTTGGATTTACCGTCTCCTGACACGCGTCATCGGAGAATCGGAAAAATCAGATGGGGCTGGGGCTGGTTAGACCTGCGGCAGAGCCCTCTCCAAAGCAGCTCTGGGGGAAAGTTGATTACAAGGACCCGGAGCTCGCTCTCAGAATCCCGAGTCAACCTAATCAAGGCCTGGGTCAGAAACACAGGGCCAATCTAGAAACTTCACCAAGAGAGGTTCTGATGCCTTCACTCTAGCTGCTCATCTCTCAGCGCCTCAGCCACCGGGTCATTCAGTGTCTCGTGTGAGGGGCCCACGTATGGGGCAAATGGCCACGACCAAGGGGGTGCAGGGTAGGGTCACTCGTGCAAGCCGGGTGGGCTTGGGTTGAAGCCGATGCTGCCAGAGGGGGGGGTGCGTGGACAGTGAGGGGAAGACTGTAACAGAGCCATGCTTGGCACCGTGGTCTGGCCCGACTTTCTCCGCAAAACATTGGCCTGGTGAGTAAAATCAAGGCACAGCAAAAGCATGGGGGCATCACAGTGCTGCTAAAGGTCAGACGTGGTCTGCGTGGCGATGTGGACGCCATATTCCAATAGAAAGCTCAGTGGTAAGAGCTGAAGAGGGACTGGTCTTTCTGCCAGGAGAGAAAGTGCAGGGATCATGCTCTGAAGGACACGTGGTCAAATGACAGGAGCTTCGAGAGCTCAGCGGGGTGTTGGCAGATGAATCTTTTCCTTTTATAGAGATCTCTTAACATCGCTGTCATGTTATCTTAGTAAAAATAAGTATTTCAGTTCTTCCTCTAGAAGCAAGAACCTGGGAAGTCAGGGGTATGAACTGAAAACAGAGGACAACTCGACCCCACGCTTGTCCAGCGTGGTCTCCCCGTCCACCCTCATCCCTGCTCTGATTCCATCTCTAACAAGGTCAACTGTCGTCAGGTTGTTTTTTTTTTTTAACATTAACTGTATTTTTTATGTACAGCATTAAAACCTGATGCTGGCTGCTGTGCTCGGTGACCCCCTCCACCGTGTGCCTGCAGCGAGCGCCTCCCTCCCCACGCCCTTGTCCTGACCTGGCCAGCAGCACCCCACATTCTGGGCGCAGAAGACCTGGTTTTCCCAGAGTGAAGCAAAGAACACTCCAGCCAGACCCTCCCTGAGGGGCGCCGACGGTCCAAGGTCCGCCGCTAGTGTTTTAAACTCTCCAAAGATGTGACAAGTGGCTTCCAGGAATGGTGGTCACCCCCTCCCACCACCGTGGGGAGGAGCCGCCTAATCCAGGACACTGGGTAGAAACCACAGGAGCGCAGAGCCTGCCTGTCAAGCCAGACCGCATGCAGCCCTGCCTGGGCCCCTGATGGTCCCGCTCAGCTACGGAAAAGCTGAGGGACGACACCCCGAGCCCTTGGATCACAGCTCCAGCGAAACAAAACAACACTCAGAGAAGGAGCGAGGGGAGTCAGAATTCACCTAAAATAGATGCTGTGGGCCAAGGTCTGGGAAACACTGTGTCCGCTAAGCATGAACAAGAGGGGGAAAAGCAATGACCTGGCAGCCATCCAAACATTTAGAAATTACCAAACAACAACAAAAGAACAAACATACTGACAAGTACAGAGAAATAGTCCATTCCGGGGGAAAAAAAAATATAACCCAAGGGGGAGATTCTCCATTTGGACTTTCTGAGTTCATAAAATTTAATAAAACCTTGAATTTTAATAAAAACAGTGGAGATTAAAAACAGAATGAAATTTAAAAAAAAAAAAACTCCCATCAGAACTAAGAAAAAAGTGGGTGCCCAAAACCCCAACACAAAAGTAAAAGACAAATGTTTCCAAAATAAGGAAAAAAAAAAAATCCCTGAATCTGCAATGGAAAATAACACACCATCTTTTATGAGAATTAAAAAAAAAAAAAAAAAAGGAAAATCAACACTAAGACTTTCTAGCAGAATTGCTGAGTGTTCTCATTGAGGAAGGATCCCCAGGAAGCTAGGAGAAAAGGCAGTCATTATTCAGGAGAGAGAATGGCTGGTCTCGGACCAGTACACGTAACACGGTTCACAAGAATCAGGGCGGTAGGAGAAAGTTTGTGAACTCCCTGCCTTGATTAGGGGTGCACACATGCTACTGAAATTGGTAATAAAAAAAAAAGCAAGAGGTTTAACATAATCTGTAAAGGAAAGCACCAGAAGTACTAAAAACCAGAGAATAACCATCGAAACCCAGAGGGTGTGAAGACAAAGGGAGGAAGGCGGTCTACCTAACGAAGCTCTCGTGTCTCACAGGCGGTAGACAAAAGCTACCATGCAAGCGTATTAGATTAAGACATTAACACCAACACGAACAAGCAAAACTAAACTCTCATTTGTAAGGATCTGCATATATTCCACCTCCCTCTCTTCGACACATCTCTCTTGTTGGCGAGTCTCTGGATCCAGCCCAGCGGCTTGCGGCAGCTCCTCTCTGCGAAGGCTTGGGCCAGAGTCATTCGGAGGCTCGCCAGCTCACCCATCAGCACCCGGGGGCTGGGCACAGGTGCGGCTGGCTGGCATCTCTAGCTCTGGGGGGCAGCCGATGCAGCTATGGGGTTTGCATCTTTCACAGTGCCCAGCGCAATGCCCAGCGCCAGCAAGGATCCGTGCTCCACCACTGGTGAAGGTACAAGTGAGCAAAACCACTCGGGACAGCAGCTTGGCAACATAGACCAAAATGTTACATTTTGTTTGTTCTAGCAATTCCACTGCTAGGAATTTGCCCTTCAGATATAAAGTTACCAGAATATTCTGGCAGCCACACGTACTAAGGAAAAACCCAAGGGTACCAGCAGGCAGTGTGCGGGTCAACTGTGGGTCACCCCTCACCGCCACGCTGCTCACTGGGGCCACCTGCGGCTGTGGCCTGAGCTACTGAAATACTCTCCCAGCTTGCCCCTCACACGCACTGGGGGCCCCTCGCAATCAGTTCTTCAGTGCAGCCAAGTACAGATGGGATGGTCTCTCATGCTCACCCCAGCACAGCTCAAAATCCTTCAGGGCACCCCAAATTCCTGCCAGGCCCCGTGTACCTCATCCCTCTTTAGGCGGGTGTTGCACTATGCCCCTGACTCCTCGTTGGCTTCCCGCCATCCCTCCTCTGCTCCTTCTAACCACAGGGCCTTTGCACAGACGGTTCCTCTGCCTCCTGCCTCAGGGAGGGCCTCTCTGACCATCTGAAGGTTCCCCCCGCCCCCACCCCCACCTCTGGCAGTGTACACCTCTTTCATCTAACAGTTGCCATTTTATGCGTGATGAGTATTTGTCTTCCTCCACCGGGTCATTAAGTTTCAGGACAGCAGAGGCTGTCGTGTGCCCAGCACACTAACAGACGCTCTAAACACTGCCTAACATGGCCGCACATTGCACAGGAAGCAGTGAGGTTAGTACATCCTGACATGGAAATACAAGGTACACGGCCGTGTGAAGAGTACCCTCCCCGTGTCGGGTAAAGCAATGATCTGTATCAGCTAGAGAGGACAGAAAGCCAGCAGATGCCCGAGGTAAAAACTGAATGCAGCCAGGCACCCGGGGCTGGGGCCAGATAGCTGCAGCTCCAGCCTCACGCGCCCCCATTCAAGGAGTAGGAGACACAAGAAAGTCCTCCTCCTGAGGTGGCCGAGGCACACGGACCTCGGGATTAGCTCTGACTGGGCCTGATGCCCTTCAGCCCCGCCACGAGGGTGGCTGGAGGTGGGGACGGCAGGGTGGACATCTGTCCGCACACAGACCTGAGGAGGGACACAGCACGCTTCAGCCAAGAGAAATCTGAATAGTTGCCAAGTCAGGGGACACAGAGGCTGGAAGAAACACGTCCCTAGAAGATGCTGAGTGAACTTTTTTCCCCTTGGAAACAAACGAACAGGAGCTTCCCTCGAGATGAGGCGGCGGCAGGGGGTAGGCACAGATTCGACACTTTGTACCTTCCTCCAGCAGTAACATCTGGAACCACATACACGAGCTAGTCTTCATTTGTTAAAATCACAATGGAAGCTTTGTACAAATAATTTTAGTTCCTAAAAGTGACACCTGCATACAAGTTCTGTCTGCCGCACGAACAGCAATACCCGACAGGAGCAGGTACCGCGTCAGGTTAGTACCACACAAAACACCACAAGTTTAGGCACTTCATCAAAGAAAAATGTTCAGAAACGAATGAGGTCACTGAGTCTTCTGTCCCACCTGCAGACTCGCGATCCCCACCCTTCAGCATTGTCCCATGACGGCGCGCTCGAACCCTCGACACTGGCATGGCTGCCCCACACGAGGACAGGAAACACAGCCCCGACCCGTACAGACCACGTAAACCCAGACGGGAACCGAGAACCCCTATGGGGATTCACAGTAAAGACCTGGGCTTTCCAAGCTACGCGATTTTCTCTGCACCGATGTGGGGGGTCAGACATCCTGGTGTCCTGACCACACATTCAGACCCCAGAGCGCCACGCGGGGCTCCCACAGCGTGCTTAACATCACAGTCCCAAAGACCGAGTTTGCGGCCCGAAGAGCCCGGTCCCGCTGAGTCCAAGTCTGTCTGATTAGAACGCGGCAGCCCTCCTGTGAACAGAAAGGAGGGAAACGCGGACACAGCGAGCCCCTGGTGGTCAGGGCCGGCGAGGGTAGGGGAGTGGGGCCGCAGGAATGATGCCCCAGACAGAAATGGCAAAAGCAACGGTCGGGTTTCCATTTACAGTGATTTTCTGGTAAACGTGGAAGTGTCATTGTCCAATGGGAATGATATGACCTCTGTCCTCTTACTTGAAGCCTTTTAGACAATACTTCTCACATGGACCACAAACTGGTCCTATGGCAGAGCCTTTCCAGGAGAAAGCAGAACGTCCTCGGCGAGTGGTGCTCCCGCCTGCCCCCCACCCGGGGGGCTGTCCGGCCCAGGGCTCCTCCCAAGGGGCCGCGGCGGCCGCTCACAGTTCCTCCCTCTTATTCCCAGCTCGATTGTCTTCCTTTGCAGCCGTGGCGGCCCGAGACTTCGGGTCCCCCTCCTGCTTCTTCTTGCCCTTCTCTTGCTTTGTTTTATTTTTCTCTTTGCTGCCCCCCCCTCTGCCGGGGTACACCTGCCCCTCCAGGGTGACATCGGCACACCTGTCTTGGCTGACCAAAAAGTCCTTGATCTCCCAGGCGTAGCTCCCATCACGAAGCATGAAGATCGCACGGTCTGATCCCACGATGAACCTTGACAGAGACATGCGATCGTACGGTCAGAACACACTAGAAATGCACGAATGGGTCAGAGCCGCTCTGTGGCACGCAACTAGGAAAAATAATCCCTCCCAAATTCAACATGAACACAGAACAAAAACCTGTAGTTTAGCTACCGACCGAACGATTTCACGCCTCAGCTCAAATCCCAGAGACACAGAAGCTGGGCTGTGTGGGGCGTGGATGCCTGCGCTAAGAGCGTCAGCGAGGGGCCTGGGGAGCCGCCCCCGGGGCTGTGAGGCTGCCGCCGTGGAGGAGGGCATCTGTTCTGCATTCCGAGGTGCCCAGTGAAGGTTTCCTCTGCCAAAAGCCTTCTGCAGACAAAGGCTGAAAACCACGGGCTTAGGCTGGGTCACCATAAGGGGCCCATGAAGGGTCAGAGACATACTCGACCAATGGATGGAGATCCTGAGCCCGGAGGGTAAGAGGTAGCCCACGTACGCCAGCACTCAGCAGGTCCCAAGGGGGAAGAGGAGCAGAATGGGGCCTAGGCAGTCCACCAGTGTGGCCAGGGGCACGAACCCCTCGTCCCTGAGGGCCACACCCTGCCTCTGGGAGGGCAGCGGGGGCTCTGGCTGTGTACCTGTTCCCCTATGCGTCTGGTCAAGCTAATGAAAGCATCACGCCATCGCAGACAATAAGTGTTCCTTCATATTTTGTCATTACTCTTCTATTTCCTGAACTAGGACATTTGAAGACCCTGAATTTCAGGACTGTTACTGAGAGGAAAAAGGAAATCCCTGAGCATTGCATGGGAGGGCCGCACTAGGCTGCAGGAACCCCACCCCTTCACCTGAATTAGGCAGTCGGCTCCAAGGCCGAGTGGGAAAGCTGCCCCACATGGAGGGACCCCCCCCAGGGGGGCACGCGGCCAGGCTGTGACTCCTTTGCCCCACAGAGGCCAACCTGCCCCACCTCACGGGGACAAAAGGCGCAGCACTGTGTGGTGAGAGCCGGGAGCCGGAGGGCATGGAGCGGAGCACATGGCCGAGGGAGCGCCCTGCCACGCACCTGACCCACTGCAGCCTGTCTGCTACCCTCCCCCAACAGAGTTAAAGATACAAAGATAAATAAAACTTGAGGATTGAATGAGATATTAAAAAAAAAGCTTGCTGGCTGTGACCAATAATTAATGCTCTTCTTAAAAACAGGGAGAGAAATAAACGTAAGGGGAAATCCAAGACAAGACGGCCCAGGCCCCGAGGTGAGGACTGCGCTGTCCCCGGCCGGCCTGCTGGTGCTTTACCTCTGAACATCGTAGTTGGCATTGAAAAGACTGCCCTGCCAGAGGCTGGTGATCTCCTCCGTCTCCTTCTCTGTGGGGCTTCCGGACACAGTGACGAACATCATGAGCGTCTTCCCCTTCTTGGTCATCTTCAGGATGCTCTCGGGCCTGCCCGGGTCTATCTGAAAGAAGTCGATAGGCGCCGAGGGTCTTTTGTGCTCCGGGAGATCCCCTTCTTCTATGTCGTCATCCTTCTATGAAAAGAGAGCACAGAGCACGCGAGTCATCAGAATGCGCTTGTCGGCTGGCAGGTGCAGGCAGACGACCCAGGTTCTCCCAGGAAAAAGGAGACCCAGGAGCTTCCCTCCTCTAGGCAACCTCTGGGAGAAGCCCAAGTCTCCAGCAGGACTTAGCACCCATCACTCCAGGTCACCAGAGCCCATGTAATGGCTTAACAGCTCTTTCCCTCTGGAAGAATCTACCCAGCACAGTAGACTGTAAAAATGGCCACATCCTGGTTCGGTCCTACAATGAGCTGCAATACAACAATGAAGATGTGTCCCCAACCTCAGAAAGACAAGACTGAGTGACAGAAGCCAGGCACAAAAACCAGACGTGCTATAAGCCTGTTATTTAAAGTTCAAGATCAAACACAATTAACCTAGGATGACAAATTAGAACAGTGGCGGCCCCTGGGAGACGGAATGAGGTGGGGCTGACTGAGAAGGGAACTTTCTGAGGTCATGGGAATATTCTCTTTCTTAATGGTGGCATGGACGACACAGATGTATCCATTTGTCAAAATTCATAGCACCCTACACTTAAAATCTGCATTTCACGTATATCAACGTTAACTAAACAGTAAGAACAAATACTCAGTTCTAGTTAGCAGGCTTGGTTTTTGCAGTGGGGTGAACTAGCAAGCCTCACACTACCATCCATGAATCCTAGGCTTCCATGAGGAGTAAATACATTAAGGATAACAACAGCCCCATTCTTCACTTTGGGGAAGGGAGTTCTAGCAGTGGAAGGGGGAAGAATACACCCTGTGGTATTAGGCTGGAACTGGGAGGCATGAAAAGGGACACGTGACTTTTCCCAGGTAGGAAGGCAGGTAAATAGATCAATAAATAAAAATATTTAAAAACCAGGGGCGTGGGTGCCTGGGTGGCTCAGTTGGTTAAGCGACCGCCTTCGGCTCAGGTCATGATCCTGGAGTCCCAGGATCGAGTCCCGCATCGGGCTCCCTGCTCAGCGGGGAGTCTGCTTCTCCCTCTGACCCTCTTCCCTCTCATGCTTTCTCTCTCTCTCTCTCTCTCAAATAAATAAAATCTTTAAAAATAAATAAATAAAATAAAAACCAGGGGCGCCTGGGTGGCTCAGCTGGTTAAGCGACTGCCTTCGGCTCAGGTCATGATCCTGGAGTCCCGGGATCGAGTCCCACATCGGGCTCCCTGCTCAGCGGGGAGTCTGCTTCTCCCTCTGACCCTCCCCCCCTCACGTACTCTCTCTCTCATTCTCGCTCTCTCGAATGAATAAATAAATAATCTTTAAAAAAACAAAAACAAAAAACAGGGGCGCCCGGGTGGCTCAGTTGGTTAGGCGACTGCCTTCGGCTCGCGTCATGGTCCTGGAGTCCCTGCTCAGCAGGGAGTCTGCTTCTCCCTCTGATCCTACCCCCTCTCACGTACTCTCCCTCTCTCTCATGCTCTCTCTCAAATAAATAAATAAAATCTTAAAAAAAAAAAAAACAGAAAAATGACCAACCTAAAATGAAACAAAGCCCCTTTATCACTCTTCCATGGTTCTCTTGACTAATCACCGAGGACACCAACAATAATGTAATTTTAAAATATTTTTAATAAAGGATGAGCACAAGAGACTTCTACAGTAGTGCTTGGAGGCGATCCCCATTTATTCCAGATTTGGGATCTAGCGTTAGCTCTACCTAACCACCTGGGTGACCTTGGATAGGACTCCTTACTCCCCTGGGCCCGCCTCCTCATCTATAAAAAGGAAAGCAGAGCTAGGTGACCCCCAGGGCTGCAGCAGTGTGACAACACACAACATACCAAGCTTCTCCTCAACTCTGCGACCCTCCCAACCGACCCATTCTTTCTCCTTCTGCTTTGTGAGCTGATGGCGATCTGCAGTCAGGGGCACGTGCTGTCCCATCACAGGATCTTGGGAGGCTTAGAAAATCCCTTTCCTCACCTATAATGGGAAGGGGGGGACAGCATCTCCCTCCTAGGGTCTGGGGACTCGATGACATAAAGACAAGCAGTAAGTAGCCTGTGCTAGCCCCAATAATCACACCTCCAACCAACTCCGGAAATCACAACGTCAAAATCACACAGGACCGCCTGGTCGTCAAATTCATGGGCTGTTTCTGTTTTCATTCTACTCTACTTCTCCATAACATCTGTTATGATCTCCTTAAAACACCTCAAGACTTCTAATTGGCTCAGGAACCTAGAACATTTGTGTTTTTCACACTGATTTCACTCGAGGTTATGAAATTAACTCACTAGGTCACAGGCGACTCCTAATGAAAACTAAATAATCTCAAGTCTAGTGCCTATAGCAAGGGTAAGGATTGTTTCAAGCAACTTTAATTCCCATCTTTGGAAATTTGTGTGTGTTTCAGTTACAAAAAAACGGGGGTGGGGGGGGTAGAACAGTGCCCCAGTGTGGCTACCAGTACAGCTCTCCATAGTCCCAGGGCTTCTTCCCTGCAGAATCTGACCTGTGGTCATTACTTTCTCTGAGGACCGCCATCAAGCCCCTAGCCCCAGGCACTCCCCAGAAACAGGCCAGCCCTGCCTCTAGGCATTTTCAACCGGCTTCCCCACTTCACTGCTGAGTCAGATTCAGTCACAAAGCTGACTCCCCTTTCCCAGATCCTTTCCTTGCTCCCGTGGTCCCTGATGATAACACTAGCTAGCACGTACGGAGCAGCCGGCTCGGCCCTACAAGGGCCAGAGGGAACATGGGGTGGGTGAGGCTCAGAGAAGACAAATAACTCACTCAAGGTCACATGCCAGCAGGGGTGACACTGAAGAGCAAACCCACATTGCTGGCTCCGGAATCCCCCCACCCCCCACCTGCCCGCACTGTAAGGTGTAATGAAAGAACTGCCTTTGGTTTTCCTACACCAGTTGGGACTCAGCATTAAGTCTAACCCAGTGGAAAGCATTCCCTTTCCCCATCCCCACCCCACCCATGTGGGGCAGGCCTCTCCATGGCATACCAATTTTCACACTAGTGGGAAGGAGTTGGGGGATGGATTTAGGGATTGCCACAGGCGGAGGAAAAATCCCAGCTCCTGAGGGGGGAGCTCACGTTTGTGGAGGGTCTGCAAACATTAGCTCATCTGGTCTGCGCGGCACCCCGCGAAGGGGGTTGTCTCTGGCTTTACAGTTAGGAAAAGGAGGGTCAAAGAATTACCAAGCGTAACGCTGGTTCAAAACCCATCCTTCCAACACATCATGCTGTCTCCTGCCTGGTCACACAATCCACCAGCCACCAAGCTGCACATACAATCTCTCAGGTTTCTCTCTTCCACTCAGATCCTGCAGCTTCTGGCTTAATCCAGGTCCTCCTCATTACCTTTCATTTGCACTTCTGTTCACCAGTGTGTATGGAGGAGTAGTAAAATGGTTAAAAGAACAGGCCTGCAAGTCAAATGACCAAGTTTGAAATTCAGCTTACTTGCTGTCTGACCTTGGGAAAGTTACTTAACCTCTCTGGGCTTCCGTGTCATCATCTAGAAAACAGGGTAAGAGCATTAGATGAGTGAATGCACTCAGAGTAGTCCTGTTAGCTAATGAAAACTCAGTAAATATTAACTAAGAAGTCGTTTCTGCCTTCAGATTCTCTCCCTGCCCATCCATCCTAACCTTTGCCAACCAATCCGTTTCTTCTAATCATGATATCCCCAATTCAAAACCTCCAACAGCTGAAACATCCACTCCAGGGCATCCTCTGAAGGCTTTACAGAGTATTATAAACACTGTGCAGTTACCTCGGGGAAACGCTCAATATATCAAGTGAAAAAATGAACAGTAGAAAATTACATTGATGATATGCTCTCAGCTATAAAACTATGTCCGCATACAGAGGGAACACGAGAGAGTGAACGCATTTCTGTCTGGAGGTAGGGAATATCACATGTAAGCGTCCCAGTATCATAGTATTTGGGTCATGCAGCTTTGCAAACTCTGATCAGCGACTGCGTATTGCCTTCTAAATAAAGTGTAGACCCCAGAGCATTCAAGGCCCAGGCCAACCTGGTCCCCACCAACCTTCCCACACTTAACTTCAGACAGAGCCTTTTCCAGCTAAGATACCTGATTCATATTTGCACGGCTTCCAGTTGGGAGTTGCGCTATCCTATGTTCCTTCCAGGCTCTCTTAAAGCTAATACTCCAACTACTCTGGGGTGGGTACTACTAACGCCTCTATTTTGCAGATAAGGAAACTAAAAGTGCGGACAGGTTCTTCAGCAGCCCAAACTCACAAGTGGTCTGAGACCAGGCAGTCCGATTCCAAAGCCTAGGCAATTACCATTTGCACCATTCTGCCCCGTTCCCATGTGCCCCCCCACCCCAGTTCCTGTGGCCCTGCTCCCACACCCCCCTCGAGTATGTAAAATGCCACTTCCTCCCTGGGACCTTTTGAAAGTCCCACGACACTTTCTTCCTTTTTACAGAACTCAGCAATTCCTACTTTATATTAGGGTTACTCGTCCTGTCACCTACAGCTCCTGATGGCGGGATCCCTTGCTCATCTCCGCAGCAGCCCCTCTGTCTAGCTCACGGTCTTAGTATTTCCAGGGTAGGATTTCCTCAAGAGGTAGTGTTCTTCTTTGGGGGATCAAAACCTTCATTTGCTCAAGTCTATAAAGAGATGGGAGATAGAAAAGGAGACAGTAAAGGTGGAAGGAACTGCTGCCCGGAGTTCCCGCTTCATCAGTGGGGCACACACTCAAATCCACCCCAATCTCGCCATCATCACCTGCAGATATATAGGGAAATACAAGTCTGCTTTCTTCTAGTCCAATGCATCAGATGGTTATTTTAAACTCTGAAAGCCTCTATCAGACAAGCCCATGTACCCAGCGATACCCACAAAATAAAAAGACATCGCCATGGGAAGGAGTCATCCGGTAAAACCTCATTCTGCAGATAAGGAACCTGAGGCCTAGAGAGGAAACAGGACTTGCCCAAGATTACACAGTGAGTAGAACCCACGTTTCTGACTCCACTCCACCAGCTATGCAAATCAGCCAGGACACCACCACCGCCTTTGCGAGGGAAAAAGGCACAACGTGTTTTCCTCTGCTGAACCTTCTCTAAAAAGATTACACACTCCAGTGCATTCAAGTAACGAACCAAAAAACTTACTCTCACAAAAACAAGTCTCTGCTCCTTTAAAGGAAATGTGAGTTTACTGAGAGCCACCAGCCTTTGATTCCACCACCCCAAATTACAAAACTCTCAGGAGAGAATACAGCAAAACGAGAAGCCTGAAATCCTACTGATCTGGAAGACCGGCCAACCATTAAAGCTGAGATGGTCCTCTTAAGAGGACGATCTTCACGCCCCACCCCCATTCCTGAGCAGAGTGGAAAGGTCTCCCTCCGCACGTGCCGGGCCCACTGACCACTGGGGGCCCCGTAGGGGCGGCGGGGGCACCGAAGCTACAGCAGGGCAGAGGCTTGAAGGGCCGGCCCGGGACCCGCGTGGCCAGGGAAGCGCTGCAAGAGCGCCCTGGGGGAAGGCTGGGGCGGGGGGCGGCGGGCGCATTGGGGGCCGGCGGCGGTTCCCGCGCGGCAGCCAGCAAGGTCGCCTGGCCTGGGCAGAGAGGACGTCAGGGGGCCGGGAGACACCCGGGCGGGGGTGCGGAGGGCGCCGGGGGTCAGCGGGTACAGGGCCCGAGACGCAAAGAAGCTGGGGCAAATGTGCGCGCGCGCAGACCTCCCACTGTTCCAGAAGACGCGCCATGTCCGCATCGTTGTAGTCGCGAATGTCCTTCTTCTTCTTCCGCGGAGGCGGGCTGGCCTCGCCGGGAGTCCCGGCCGCGCCCTCCGCAGCGAAGGCCCGGGGCGGCAGCGGCGGCAGCAGCAGGTCGCAGGCGCAGAGGAGGACAAGGGCCGCGCGCGCCCAGCCAGAGGCCGCCATCTTCGCCGCGCCGCCGCGGAGGCCAGCGGTGCGCGCGCCGCCGGGCCCCGCCCCGCCCCCAGGCCCTCGCCGACCTACCAGGCCCCGCCTCGTAGCCGCCCCTAGAAGCCCCGCCCCCGCGCCATCTTGGCCCCGCCCCTCTCCCGGGGTCCCTCCCGCGGTCCCTCCCGGGGTCCCTCCCGCGGTCCCTCCCGCGGTCCCTCCCGCGGTCCCTCCCGCGGTCTCATGGGGCTCTCTGCCGGGGCTGGGTCACCGCGGATCGCCGGCCCGTTTGCTCGCGGAGGCCTGTCCTTTTCTTCCTGCCGCGCAGGCCAGGTCCACCAGCCCCCTCAGGGCCTCCGGGAGCCCCCGGACAGCGCCTCGCGGGGCCTCCGTTTGTGGCCTGCGAGAGGCACTGGAGGTGCAAGTCCTGGGAGCTGCCTGGGCTCCGGGGAAGCCGGGTCCAGAGCGTCCACGGACGCTTCCTCTCCGTCTCCTGCAGCTTCCTTGGAGAACAGCCGCTTACCTGGAAGCGAGTGGCGGGTAGCTCTGCTTTTCCAGAAGGTCACGGACGGACGGGGCCCGCTGCTTGGCTGTTGGTCGCAGAGGATGCAGGATCACCGTCATCTCTGGAACGCGAATAATCCCCCCCCCTTGTTTTTCATTTTTAAGACAACTTCAGTATTTCATCTGATTTTAACCCAATACTGTAGGCTCTGACTAATGAATTTCAAGGTTGAATCTTTTTGTTTGTTTCTTATTTTAAAAGAGTCTGGGCAGAGATGCTTCCAAATTACACGAGTTTTAAATGGCTGATCTGATCTTTCTTTTAAGTTTTTAATTATTTAAGAAAGACACGAATCACTTACTGTAGTTGTGAGAGATCCAAACATTATACAAAGTTTCAAACGTTCTACTCCACCCCACAACTGTACTCCAATCAGTTTTGTTTGTCACATAGACATTTTTCTATACATTTATAAACATCAAAATGTCTCTAGAAATGTGATTCATACACATTTTGTTGCATTTATATGTATGTCTATGGCAGCACACTGTACATATTAGTAAGCATTTTGGCTCCTTAAGTGTTTTCCACTTAGCAATATGACACGATGAACCTTCATTCTTCATACTTCCGTACAGCATGCTTTGGTATTAATTCACCAATAGTTTATTTCCCTATTACCCCCCATTGATGGACACTTATTACCAATTTTTCTGCTATTACCAAAAAAAAAAAAAGAAAGAAAAGAAAAAGAGCCACAATAAACCTCTATTCATGCTTTGTATTATGGGCTGAATTGTATGGCCCCCAGATTTCCTATGTTGAAGTCCTAATCACAGTCTCTCAGAATGTAACTGTATTTGGATATAGGGTCTTTAAAGAGGTAACTAAGTTAAAATGAGGTTGCAAAGATTGGTCTCAATGCAATATGCTGTCTTTTATAAGAAGAGGAAATTTGGTCACAGTCATATAGGGGAGAGATTATGTGAAGACACGGGGAGAAGACAGGGATCTACACGTGAAGGAGAGAGGTCTCCGAAGAAACCAACCCCGCCGACACCTCAGTCTGGGACGTCTACCCCCCAGAACAGCAAGAAAATGTCCTGTAGTTTAAGCCACCGGATCTGCGGTACTCTGTTAGGGCAGCCCTACCAAACTAATATATCCCGGCTTTGTAAGATTAGATTAGTAGGCTGCGTGTAACCGAAAACGGAGCTCCTTTTAAAGTGGCTTAAAACAAAAGAGAGGGCTTTGTTGTTAGTGTTGCATTTTTCTTTCAGGGAAGCAGTTGGAAAGCGAAGCACCAAGGGCTGGTATTGTAGCTCCTCAGTCACCTGGCACCCAGCCCCTTTCTTATCCTGCTCCATTCTTCCGGCCGGTGGTTTCTATCCTCAAGTTCACGGCAAGTTCTGAGATGGCTCCTGGAGCACCAGCATCAAGATGACTTTCATCCAGGGGAAGGAGGAAGGAGGGAAGATCAAAAGGAGTACACTCTTCTATGGAGTTAGCTTCCTTTAAGCAGCCTGCTCAGTTCGGGTCACATCTCATTAGCCAGAACCTAGCCCTCCAGAGGAGGGTAGCAGACTGTCTTCTAGCTGTGTACACTGTCACCCCAAATAAAAGTGGGATTCTGTTATCAAGGAAAGAGAGGAGGAGGCTGTGCAAGTGTGTGTGCCTCCTTCCACCCTGAGGACCGTCCCACTGCAGAGCTGGCTGACACACACGTCTGTATGTGCACAGGTGATGACATTTTCTATTGACATGGAGCAGAGACTCGTAAGAAAAAGAGGGGTTTTTTTTTTCTTTCCTTTTCTTTTCTTTTCTTTTCTTTTCTTTTCTGAAATCATAGGGGAAATGTCATAAGCTCTCTCCCCAGGGCACACTGCTCCACCCAGTGGCTCGCAGCCCTGTCCTGGTTCAGTCATGGCTAAAACACATGAGCAGCCGCGGTCGATCATGTGCTCTGCTGGGAGGGGTCACGCTGGTCATTTATTTTGCCAGCAGCCAAGTGAAGGTGCAGAAGTGCTGAGAGTTCTGGTCCACAGAAATTATTGGGATTGTGTAAAAAAAAATTCCAGGGCTACTGACTTTCATCGAAGGAACAAATCAATTCAGTTTATAATCCACTGACGTGAAAACATCTGGATTGATTTTGCATTGTCACCATTTTGGTGTCTGGAACTTGATTCAGTTCAACTCTATGAGAATTTATTTACTGAGGGCCTATGGTCGACCCAAAAACCAGATGAGGCACTGATGGAAAGATTAATGTAACAAGGTTGCTGCATGAAAGAGCTCACAGTGTAGCAGAAGAGATAAACAATACACAGTCAGTATAATGCAGGTTACAGGAGGTGAGGACCTGAAGAGATGATATGATGGTAATAAGATCCCTGTTTTAAAGAAGAGGAAACCCTGGTTTTGGAGTTACATAATTCGTCAGAGGTCCCAGGTGTCTTGGATGACAAGATGTGTCTTTCTTCCGTGTAGCACCGACTGGGTTAATCACTGGGACAGTCACATAGTGAAACTGAGAGCCATGTGGAAGATCCACTGAAAAGGAGTCGGAGGCAGGAATGCTCAGATGGGATGAGACCGAAGTCTGACCAGGCATGCTGTAGGGCAGGAGAGGAGGGAGCAGAAGTGAAAGGGATGGTGTGGTCATGGGCTAGATGAAACCACAACCTTCTCACTGCTCCGGGGTTTAATAGTAACCACCCCTCTAAGTGGTTCAGTGACTGCAGAGGGTAAAATTGAATCTCACAGCTAACAGGTGTCCTAATCCGGGTTTATCCTGGCTTGTGTCACTCAACAGCAGAGGAGGGATGCCTCAACTGGAGGGTACAACAAGAATTTCTTGCAGTATTAGGAATCAGGCAGGGGTGACGTTCAGAATGTTGAAAAACGGGAAAGGCATACTTACTAATCAATGAGAACAGAGGCCTATGACCAGAAGGATACAGCGTGGCTTTGGAGGCTCTGGTGTGCCAAACATTAACCATTTAAAGACTGAATCATGGGGAGGTATGGGTGGAGGGTCCTGGGGGTGGAGCTAAGGTGGACATGGGGAGACCATGGCTACTTACCACTCTTCACTTTGCTTCTTCTGAATCCAATGCAAGAAGAGGGACAACATAATCTCCTGAGCTTTACCTGCTCCTCAGTTTATTCCCACGTAGCAATTCCAGATGTCCAGAAGAGATGGGATTGCCCCAGGCTAGGGTGAGAGTCCATTCCTGATCACCTTCATTATTTGTGAACAGAAGAGTAGGACTCGTATAATGAAACAGAACAATTAAACTTGCGTTTGCCGAACACCATGACAATGAGTTAAAAGGGGTGAGACACACATAAACACATGGATGCCCCTAAAATATTGATTGATACTGTTCTCTGTACCAGCATATAAGGAAAGAAATCTAACTTCGATGGAAATTCTCCGAATACTACACTTAATTCAAATTATCCATAATACTGCAATTGCCTTGAAAACTTGAGGATTAGATCTGAAAAAAAATGTGGGACTTTTATCTATGTCATTTGAAGCATTACCTACACTCTGTTAGCACAGCTATTTGCAATTATGGTTGGTGAACTCATAATCTCTGTTTCCAGAGAATCATCTCCCTGGCCTCTCCTCAACAAGCTATAAGAGAAACGGGGTGAACACACTTGCTAAGCAAATAGGCTTCAGGCCTACGTTTCAACCCTAGAGCCGTGAGCTGTAAATCATGATCGCACACACAGGCCGTGACCTTGCAGTGGGTTCGTGAATATTCATGACTTTATGTCCACGATGGAGCAAGAGCTATGGCCAGCAGGATTTTGGTTCTGTGAAAGCATGCCTTTCTTGCAGAGAATGGCAAACAGGTTAATTCATTTATTCATTGCTTCCACAAATATTTATTGATGACCACACAATGCACTAGGTGTGGGGGAAGAGAGGAACAGATCAAGTCCTTGTCCTTAACGAAGCGACAGGGCTGTGGGGAGAGAGTACGCAGTGCTAACAGCCACACTGCACACAGCACAGGAGGGGCAGAAATGCCTGACAGTCTGTCTGGGGCTCAGGGAGGCTCCGTGTGGGGGGTATAGCCAGGCCATTTGTAGTTGCTGACTTATTATGTGCTAGACACCCTGAGAGATGGAAAAATGGCCAGGCACGATTAGTGTTAGGAACTCTATTCAGGCAGTTGGAGCCTGGATCTCGGCATTTATCTTCTGCCCTACGGAATTTCTTTTTTTTAAAGATTTTTTTATTTATTCATTTGAGACACAGAGATACAGAGAGAGAGAACATGAGCAGGGGGAGAAGCAGAGGGAGGGGGAGAAGGAGGCTCCCCGCTGAGCAGGGACCCTGGGATCATGACCTGAGCCGAAGGCAGACGCTTAACCATCAGCCACCCAGGCGCCCCTGCCCTACAGAATTCATGAAACTACCTCTCAAGATCATTCACCAGTAGGGAAACGAGGCAGAGAATTTACCTGTGAAAGCAACCTTCACCTCTATGCAGGGCTCTC